GTTTTTAATAGATATACTATGGTGTCTTGAGTTGCAATGGTGAAAAACATGGGACGGTTTTTTATTGCGTTCTGTCAATCTGGTTTCCAATTTTCTTCCTGTTTCTCCGATGTAGAATTCTGGGCAGTTATTGCATGTTGTATTTTGTGATTCTAAATAATTTTTGTTTAGTAACGATTTTAATTTAAGGCCAGGTTTTTGTGAGAATTTTGCAGGAAAATTGTGTTTAATGGCTAGTTTTTCCAAGTGTGGGTAATTCTTGAGCTGGTTTCAGGAACAAAAGGTATACTGCAGTGTAATGTACTGTTGTTGGGTTTGTTAGTGTCAATTTTGTTCATGAGTTGAGTTTTATTGTGGGGAATGTTGGAGAGTTTTTCAACTATGGCTGGTGGGAATTTATTGGTGAGAATAAAGGAATGCTTTAAGTGGTTAATTTCTTCATTTATGTAGTCCGTTGAACAGAGTCTTGTGGCTGTGATTATGAGGTTTTTAAGTGTATTGATTTTTTATGTGGTGTCATGAGCGGAATTCCAGGGGATGTAGAGACCAGTGTGTGTGTGTTTTTGCGGTGAATTTTGATTTTAAACTGCGTGTCCGATCTAATAATTTTGAGGTTAAGAAAGGATAACTGTTTATTGTTTTCGTGTTCTATTGTAAATTTGATGTCGAGATGAATGGAATTTATGTGTTTAAAGAAAGTAAGTGTGTGTTCTGTAGAAGTGAAACCAGCAAAAGTGTCATCGACATATCTGTACCAGTATAGTGGGAGATGAAGCGCAGAATGTATGGCTTGTGTTTCGATCTGGGTCATGAATATATTGGCAAGAACGGGCGAAACAGGATTGCCCATACTTAAACCATCTATTTGAAGGAAATGTTCGTTGTTGAAAAAGAAGTTGGTTTTAATCGTTGTTAATTCTAAAAGAGAAGCAAAAAAGTATGCTGGGGATTTGCATTAACTTGTTGGGGTCATTAATGTAGAGGTTGAGTGCAATATTGCAAGCTTCATTGGCGGGGACTTCGATGAAGAGTGACACGACATCAAAAGTTCATGGAACTAAGTACGATTATCTTAAATTAAAGCTTCACTCTACGATCTTCTAATAGAATTGGCTCAAGAAAATATGCCTGAATTCTACAGGTAAACTAACTTATTTGTTCAGTCGACAGCGTCACCTCGCGACTTTGGTCTCTCACAGCATTGGTTGGCTGTTAGATTTAGACAACATCAATTCGGTCAGCAAAGGATATTACAGTTCGATCCATTCAACCCGGATGCTTTATGCTACTGCATATCCTCTTGGGCAGAATAGACATAATCTACTAAAGAGAACAAAGAAATAAAGGAACTAGAATAAGACAATCTTAACGATTTTCTGGACGACCTGTTTACGCTGGAACTGCGTTCACACAAAATAAATAATCAAATTCTAAAAATCCCTACATATATAAAGCAGGTAAAACATATTGTTACGCCTCCAGTCGTTAGTTAATTTTCCGTAAATTCTTTCCGACTAAACTTTAGCGACACAAGTCCTTTCTTAAATAAAACTGGTTTATTCTTTCCGAATACAACTTTACGATACACTTAATTTCAACAGTCACTCTATAATAAACATTATAACTCACGTCTCACGTGGCCAACAATATTCTCCACATACATTCAATTAATCATTACATCCCCTTCACTTCATGGCCGGTCTTATATATACAAGACTACACTATATCTAGAAAGATCACGAGATTTGAGGAAAAGACGTGAATATTCGAGAATGACGTGGCGTGATACTAGTCACGTGACTTCGCTGACGCAACAATATGATACAACTGCTTATCACAGTAGTTAAATAAAAATTGAATATTATTGTTTATTAATTACATTTCATTAGGGTTAAAGGCAATTTCCTTCATTTCATTTCATCCCAAACACCAATGAAACAATTAATTTCTACTTACATTGAAATAACCATGAGTTTGGTTGTTTGTTTTTGAATTTTTTGCAAAACTACTCGGGGCCCAGCATGGCCAGGTGGTTAGGTTCGAATCCCCGTCACACCAAACATGCTCGCCCTTTCAACCGTGGGGGCGTTATAATGTGACGGCCAATCCCACTATTAGTTGGTAAAAGAGTAGCCCAAGAGTTGGCGGTGGGTGGTGATGACTAGCTGCCTTCCCTCTAGTCTTACACTTCTAAATTAGGGGCGCCTAGCACAGATAGCCCTCGTGTAGCTTTGCGCAAAATTCAAAAACAAACAAACAAACAAAACTACTCGAGGGCTACTTGTGTTAGACTTCCTTAATTTTGAAGTTATGGATTATAAATGTAAGGCAGATAATTAATACCACCTATCCTGCCAACTACTGGGCTACTATCTAAAAACAAATAGTGGGATTAACTGTAACCTATAACGTCCCCTTGCCTAAAGAGGCAATCATATTCAGTTGCGGGGTTCAAATACTTATGCGTTAATATTATTTCATATGCTGGTGTTCCTAATTACAGAAAAGGAACAAAAATAAGGATAAATATACAATTTATAACCACTGTCATAAAAATAATATGTTTTAACTGAATTACAGTATTTATTTATTACAATTTGCACACTGTAGCTGGCGCTATATAATATTGTTACGTCTCCGTTCGTTAATTGATTTTCCGTAACTTTGTTCCGACGAAACTTTAGCGACACAAGTCCTTAATTAATAAAACTGGTTTATTCTTTCTGAATATAACTTTACCGATACACTTATTTTCAACAATCGCTCTATAACAAACGTTTTAACAATGAACGTTAACTTCAACAATACTTTCTGACTGCAGTTCAAAAACTCACTACCTACACACATTGTCACGTCACGTTGTGAGCGTCTTATATACATATATCAGACAAACATATATCTAGTAATAATGGCTGGAGACGGCTTGAATGGGTAATGAAGAAAAACTTTAATATAAGTCATCATCACAAAATCTTGTCGAAACGTTGTACATTTGCTGTTATGTTAAACTTATATTAAAGTTTTTCTTCATTACCCATTCAAGCCGTCTCCAGCCATTATTAGTCTCAAAGTGGGTTCCTCGTCATCAAATATATCTAGTAAATGCT